ATCTCTCTGAGCCTCAACTGCTTCAGTGTAAAGTGATACCTAATACCTACCTTTGCCAGGAGCTGTGATGAGAATACTTAAGCAAAATGCCTGCCTCTCAGCAGGTGCCCCCAGGGCCAATTCCTTGCCTAGAAGCTGTGCCTCCCCCATTGTTTTTGTGGTGAAATGCTGACAGGCATACATGGTAGGCAGTAGTTGGTATTTTGCTGTGCCTACATCTGTGTCCCGCAGGCCTTTTCGGTTGTGCTGTGATGTGTGTGGCAGCTGGCTGCACCTCTGCCTCGCCAGCCTGTGCTGGGGTGGGAGAGCCGGAGCCCCGTTTTTCCTTCCTGGATGAAAAGGTGATCCCTGAGAATTTGTGTGCCTTTTACATCAATCCTCACCCTGGGCTGTGTACCAGGCACTGTGAATGTGATGCTGGCCCAACTTTGTCTTTTGTTACATTTCTATAGCATTAAAATACTTCGGATGTGTTAATATATAGACTTCAGCCTGTTGTTTTATAAACAAAACATTGGAATAGAAGTATTCAGTGTTTTCCTCCTTTCCTAGCTTATCCGAGGTCAAGGAAACCCATCTTGTGGGTTCTAAATACAGCATCTGCCCATCCTCAGTAGGACCCTGTGCTAACAAAGGGATGTAGGGAGAGCAAGGGTTGATGGGCCTTCACCCTGCTGTGCCTCTGGTGTTTCCTGGGTCCTAGCAATTAGGCAACTTGAATTAACTTCTCAAGAAAAAGAGGAAACTGTTCAGCTCCCACCCTGATCTGGCCCTTGCATCATCTGTAACCCTCATGGCAGGGATTGTCCCCACATCCTGCAGACAGGGACTGGGCCCAGAGAGAGCACTGCCGCTGGGACAGGATGGTAGGCACCAGAGAGAATCCAGTCTCTGCAGACTCTAGAAGAGCTTCTCCTACCTCACCTCCATTCCTCAGGTGTAAATTGAAGTGATTAGATTTTCCCTGGTAAGAGGGGCCTGGTCTAGGCATTTGTTTAAACAATCCTAGCTCTACCGCCTGACTTGGGCAGGTTGTACCTCGCCTCCCTGGGTGTCGTCGGTGTCCTCGCACTGTACAGTCACAGGGCTGTAGGCGGCAGAGTAACGCTGCAGAGAGAGCGTCTGACCAGTGCGTTTACTGACACACGAGGGTCTCTGTTACTCTTCGTGGCAGGAGGATCTCGGGCAGGTTCTGTTTACGGGAAGGCCATGGGTTCCGGAGACACCGTGTGCAGACCAGCGGCACCAGCCCCTGTGCTGTACCCAGGAAAAGCCACAGATGCCTGTGTGCTGGCCCCTTTGCTCTAAGGACAGACTCAGCAGGGCCAAATACTCTTTAGTGCCCAGATATTAGAAAATGCTCTTGTTCCTTTGGGCCATTTATTGTTGTAAATATTCTTCCCTGCTGGCAAAGAGATGACAGAGCTTTCAGAAACATGTTTAGCTCTTGAAAGGCACTGTCACCTGAAGATCCCTTATCAAACATGAGAGGTAAGCGGCTTCATAGCTGTCGTGACAAGAAAACAGGACTCAGATCTTAAAAAGTGTGTGTTGTCAGCAGAAAGCATGATACATACACTGTTTACTTCATCCAGTGCTGGGTCCCTGTTTGCCCCGGAGCATGGTTCTTGGGTGAGGCTCTGTGGTGACAAGTGTGGCTCTCCATAAAGCCGTCATCCCCAGGAAAGTCACCTAAGAGCGCAGGCTCTTAGGATTCAGAGAACCTCTGCAGTACCTTGATGCTAATACCTGGCCATCGCAAGGAGAGCTTTCTCTGTGCCTGAGCTGCATCCGCCTCTCAGAAGGGAAGGACTAGGTGAGGAAATGTGTGGAACGTGCTCAGGAATGGTTGCACAGGTGGAAGCACAGTGAGTGCCTACGCCTGAGGGATGGGCTCAGTGGTGGTGATAAAGAGCAGACTGACTTACAGTTGGTTTTATTATCACTTTTAAATTCCCTGTAGGCACCGCACCCCTTGCTGCCTACATAAGGATGGGCTACCCACCCCCCCCTACCCCGTACCCCTCCCCCGGCTCTGTGCCTGGGCATCAGTGTCATTCTTGAGATCACCTCATACCAGTTATGCTGTATGTTACACCTGTTTTCTTAAATATGCAGGAAAATTGGAAATACAGCACGTGGAACCTACTCTCCCCTGACCCACTTACTTTAGTGTCTATTTCCTATCAAAAAAGGAGGTTCTGCTGTACAAGCACAATACCACCACTGAAATCAGGAAATTAACATTGAGGCACGATTACCTTCTAGCCCACAGACCCCACAGTGCCCTATAGCTACAGGATCCAGTGTGGAATCCCCAGAGGCTTTAGATGTCCTTAAGATCCATGAGCCTTGGAGCAGCAACTGCGTCTTCCCTTAAACTTTGTGGCCTCAAACTTTGGGATTTCAAGCCTGTTATTTTGGAGAATGCGTCTCACTTTGGGATTGTCTGGTGTTCCCCCAGGGTTAGATCTGGGTATGCATCTTCTGCACGGGTTTCATGGCAGTTGCGCTGTGTCCTTCTCATTCCATCCCATCAGGTGGCACGTGATTTAATTTGTCCTGTTCCATAGGGCATTCACTTTGGTCCTGAGTTCAGGTGTCTGTCAGCCTTCCCTTTAAAGTGAGTCTGTCCCCATTTGTAATGATTAAGGACTTTGTGTGTGTCGTGGGGGAATACTTTGAAGTTCTATAAATATCCTGTCCCTCTTCTAGATTTGTCTGTGTATGTGAGCATGGACTCATGGTTTTCTGTTAGGCGACTGTATTCTCGATGCTCTCACTGTTCTCAGACGGCCCCTCATTTGGCCAGCAGGAGCCTCTTGAGGCTGAAGTCTGTGTCCTGACCCATGCACCCTGTTCCTGAGTGTTTCTTAACATTTGGGCACAAGATGTTTCAGGCTCATCTTGTACTTCGTCCCTCCCAATCCTGGAATCAGCCATTTCTCCTCAGAGCCTGGGTTCCTTTTAGGGAAGAGTGAAGATTACAAGTGGAAATCCAGTGCGAAGCATTGTGTATGCTGATGGGCCAGTGCGGCACTTGGGCCCTCTTAGTGGACAGAGAGAGGAAGAGCGTGAATGTGCGTGAGCATGTGTGTGCATGCACACACATTTAACACATCTGTCTGTTGAAAAACATGTATTTGCATCAGTACCTCTGATTCCAAACCACCACCACAGAGTTAACTCAGATCTTCTCCTTTCCTGTATTTGTAACTCCCTTCTCTAAAATAGGGACGTGTCTCTCATTATCCTTAATGTATTTGCTTAGAAGATTAATCCTCTAGGACATGACCAGTCTCCAGCTGGGAGGCTGTCCCCGGCAGGGGCTCCTCGTACCACATCAGGCTCAGACTGTGCACAGGGATACCCTCTACTTTGAAGTTCTATAAATATCCTGTCCCTCTTCTAGATTTGTCTGTGTATGTGAGCATGGACTCATGGTTTTCTGTTAGGCGACTGTATTCTCGATGCTCTCACTGTTCTCAGACGGCCCCTCATTTGGCCAGCAGGAGCCTCTTGAGGCTGAAGTCTGTGTCCTGACCCATGCACCCTGTTCCTGAGTGTTTCTTAACATTTGGGCACAAGATGTTTCAGGCTCATCTTGTACTTCGTCCCTCCCAATCCTGGAATCAGCCATTTCTCCTCAGAGCCTGGGTTCCTTTTAGGGAAGAGTGAAGATTACAAGTGGAAATCCAGTGCGAAGCATTGTGTATGCTGATGGGCCAGTGCGGCACTTGGGCCCTCTTAGTGGACAGAGAGAGGAAGAGCGTGAATGTGCGTGAGCATGTGTGTGCATGCACACACATTTAACACATCTGTCTGTTGAAAAACATGTATTTGCATCAGTACCTCTGATTCCAAACCACCACCACAGAGTTAACTCAGATCTTCTCCTTTCCTGTATTTGTAACTCCCTTCTCTAAAATAGGGACGTGTCTCTCATTATCCTTAATGTATTTGCTTAGAAGATTAATCCTCTAGGACATGACCAGTCTCCAGCTGGGAGGCTGTCCCCGGCAGGGGCTCCTCGTACCACATCAGGCTCAGACTGTGCACAGGGATACCCTCTGCACGCTCCGGGTCATCAGCCACCCTCACCAGCGAGGCGCCGATCCTGCTCAGCTTTAGGACTGAAATGCTGGACAGGGAGGAGGCTGAAGGTCCTAACCTGTTTCCCAAGGGGAAATGCAGCCCTCTGTGGTCCTTCTGGGAAGGCCTTACTTTCTTGTACTGCTTCAGGAGCCTCCTGCGCCTTTCAGTGAGCCCTCTTGGTAGCAGTCCCCTTGAATTAGTTAACAGGTCTGCACATACCTGTTTACTTGAGGAACCTATTTGCAGCCTGTCCTTTATCAAGAATTAAAATGGAGTAATTTTCAGACTATTCTAGAAATCTTTTCACACTTCCAGCTCTTTAAACTGGCTACTTGATAGGCATTATAGTTACTATTTCCTTTTGCTCAAAAAATGTGCGCCCTGAAATAGAAAAAAATAAGCATGGAATTGCCAGTAAGTAGAAACTTATGAAAAGAGACAGCAACTGAGATTTGTTTAGAATTGAACCTTCTTGCTGGCTCTGGGGATTATAAAATCGCCCTTCATACTGAAAGACACAAAACTGGAACTTGCCATTCTGTCATCAAAGTAGGAGAAAAAATGAAGCAGGCATTTGTGGCTACGTGCTGTCTCCTGGCTGTGCAGCAGCAAAAGACTGAAAGCGCTTTATGAGTCATCAACAGCCAGCAACTGCCTACAGACACCCCACCAGTGCTTTAGACGTGAGGGCTTTGCCATGAGATTCAAAGTTTAACAATCTAAAACAGTAATGGGAAAGGCTGCTCATAGAGATGGATTAAACTCCTAAAATCTTCTCTTCCCATCATATTTTTTCTGATTTACAGAAAAAATATTACAAACTGACTCTGTTGCAGTATATTTATGACTCCCAGCCTGGCCGGTTTGTTTTTAATTCACCTTCTGTCTCTGGATCTCTTGTGCAGAACACATATACCAATGCAGATAAATTACTGGAAGCGGCAGAACAGCTGGCTCAGACTGGGGAATGTGACCCGGAGGAGATTTATCAGGCTGCTCATCAGCTTGAAGATCGGATACAAGATTTTGTTCGACGTGTCGAGCAACGGAAGATCCTGCTGGACATGTCAGTGTCATTTCACACCCATGTGAAAGAGGTAAGGCATCAGGAGACAAAGCTGTAGCTGTGTCTGAGAGGGTCTTTGAACTCCTTGGAAGGAATGTGGATTGGTTGTGATGTGGAAAAGTGGACCAGACGGGGCCAGTGATGATACATATGTAGCCCATTGGCACTGAGCTGATCAGTATGGGCAGGGGTGTCAAGCTACACTTCTTTCTCCCCGTCATGCCTTTGCTGGGGTTGGCAAAAGCCTGTGTGTCTGTTGGGGGGGACGACCCGTGAGCCATGGTGGTGGCTGGGGAAGGCATTTAGTAGGAGGTAAGCAAGGAAACAAGAGCTGAAGAAGATCCCTTTAACTTGGAGAGAGACAGAGTGTGTAAGTTTTAGCATAAAGTGCCCTGCTTGTCTGGTCAGGATTTCCTTTCTGTGTGTCAGCCTGTCCTGTGGCTAAAGTCATGGTTGCCTTCAGATTATGTGACTACTCTCAAATACTAATAAAAGTGAGTTTTACATACTACTTAAGTGTGCCAAAGCCAGCATGGCCTTAATAATGTTAATGTCATGGTATACTGTTGCTAATAAGCTTATCACATGATAAGAGATAATGTGCCATTTGGTATATGGAAAGGAGGTTGATACTAATCATACCTTACATATGTTTTATTCTTAGCAGAAATTATATAAAATTACAATGACACTTTTGTGGCTTTTGAGAAAAGAAGGATTATAATAAAATCTATAGTTCAAGACTACAACTTGAGTAAGGATGTCATCTTACTGCATCTTATTTCTAAGTAAAAGAATTCTCCACCTCTTAGGTCTTCATCATTTGGGCATGAGGGGCTCTTTTAGGTAATTTGGGATTAAGTGTGTGAAAGCCTGTAGTACTAGGTGAGGCAGAAGGATCTGGGAAAGGTCAGACCCCAGGGAGAAACTTGGCCAGGGGCTGGCTAGGTCTGCCTTGTTCAAAGGCATCAGAGATCAAGACCCAGTAGATCTGTTTAAGGAAAAAGGTGGTCACTGCCAGTTTGGGATGTGGGCACTCAGTCTGCAACCAGCCGTTTGTAACTGGAAGTTTGGCTCCAGGAAAACCATGTTCACCTCCCACTCTGAAGCGCTGAGCCCAGGAGGAGAGTGCTGGGGTGTATGTGGCAAACTGCTGGGACCTCAAGACCTAGTGCCTCAGTCTCTCCCAGGCCAGCAGCACTCCTACCCTCCTCTGCTCATGGCACTTTGTTCAGAGAGCTCAAAGTCTGTGGGCCTGGGATGGTCGTCAGCATAGACAACCAGCACAAGTAGCTTCTCTCCCCCTCTGAATAATACCATTACTGAAAAGACTTTACACTGTTTGCAAGGAGACTGTTTCTTCCGAAGAGACACAGTAAGTGGACACTTGTCCTCGGCACTTTCTACTATGGATGCATGTGTCAGCAGACTCTAAGCTCCTCACTTGGCATGAGTCAAGCCGTAAGCACTAACTAGTCACCCTGCCTCTGCCAGAATCTGAATTTGATTAGGTCCTGCCCTCTCCTTGGCACCGTCAGTGGCTCTTTGCGTATCTGGAACACCAGCGCGAAGCCCCTCCGCGTCCTCCTAATCTGGTCCATGCTTTTTCTCCAGCCCCCTCCCCTCTGCCCAGTTGTCCCGAATCTGTGACACCCTGACACTCTTGAGACTTGCACATACTGTTTCCTTTCACTTCCCCAGGCAGGGTTAGCTGTTCTGCCCTACACTTTCTTTCTAGAACTTTCTTTACACGTGCCTGTTAGAACACTTGTCCTGTTCAGTACAGTTGTGCCTGACTCTTTCCTATCAGTTAGTATGTTAGCTTTTTCTCATATGCATGTCTGGCCCCTGGCTGAGAGGTAGAGGAAGGTGATGTGTGTGGAACAGCAGATTGTGTCTTCCTTCATTCAGCTGTGACAGGCAGAAGGCAGGCCAGGAGCCCTGGGCAGCCTGTATCTTCTGCAGGGGAGGTGTGGTGGTTGGGGCAGGAGCTCCTTACTGGGTTGCACGCGCACGTTGCCCTGGGCAGCCTGGAGGCTGTGGGAGGAGGAGGAAAGGACTGCCCGAAGAGCAGCAGTTCAGAAGGAACTGAGAGGAGGGGTGGGGCCGGAGCGGGACTGAAGGAGGGGCGGGGCCGGGGCAGGCTTGGACAACCTCCGAGCCACGTGTTCGTAACCTGCTATTTGCCAGAATGATAGGCCTAGTCGTCTTCAGCAGGATTTATAAGATTTAACTTGCTTTTAGGAGAGCAAAGACTTGCCATTAAATCATATTTATGATTTCGATCACGTCTTTAAACTTTATGGTTTTCAAAAAGTAGACACTTAAGGAAGCTAGAGGGGAAGGGAAGTGTATTGCAAAAGCTGTTCTCCAGAGACTCAGTTTGGGTTCATTGGTTTTTGTAACATCAGCATTTTTAAGGAAAAATCTTATAATAAAAGCATTCCAGTTCACAAATTATAGTCTGTCTTGTCAGTAGACTTGGAAATTTATTTAAAAGTGAAAATACCTTCTGTTTTCATTGACTTCCACTATAAGAATTTCTGGTATATATGAAGTTTGTAGTCTACAGATACTTTAAAAATCTGTTTTAAAGGTTAAGTGGTTCATGTTTACAATTCTGGAGTTTTCAGGGAAGTCATTCATTCTTTTGCGTATCTAATACCATCACAGTAGCAGAGAAACTGGCGTGTTTACCCTGATTTGCTTGGTCTTAAATGTGTGCCCCTCAAGGGACTTGCGGAGGAGGAAGGATTTGGTGACCAGCCCAGGAGTTGTGGGCAGAACTCTGGCATTCCCCAGTTGACTGGCTGGGATGCCATTCAGGGACCCTGGCCACACACAGGCATGGAGCGCTGGTTGATTCTCTCCTGCGACGTGCTTGGACTGTGTATTTAGCCCAGCTATTATCTTGGTAGATTTATTTTTTTCTGACAGCCCTAGAATTTCCTTAGGCTTCTTTCCTGTTTTGCACAAATGCTCCCAAACCCATAGGGATACTTGGTAGGTTTAATGCAGGAAGGAATGGTTTCTTTTGCCATTTGAGTTTTTGAAACTCGTTGTTGAATGAAAACTCAGATTCGTTTAGAACAAATTTTGTTAGTTTAAAATGAAATTAAAAGGGAGAGAAGGGCCAAGAGGAGATCATGCTAATTAAATATGTGTTTGCATAAAGTCACTATTTCAGCACATCAGATGAATGAAAAATTGCTAAAAGATTTGTTACCTGAATTAATTTTTCTCAAGCAGGCTAGATAATTGAACATAAGGAGGAAGATAGGAAAAGCAGCTTGTCTTTCTCCTGTAGGCAAATGCCTGAAGCTTTCTAGAAGTTAACTGTCAAAGGCTCTCCCAACACAGAAGTTAACCTTCCTGCCTTCCCAGATGTTAGCAGAGATTTTGTTTCACACTTGATCTGAGTGGAGCTATTGTCCTCTCTTTTTTGTGGTAAATTTCTGGTTCTCTGATGAGCAAGTAATACAAAGGTGATTTCATTAACAACTGACTTTAAAAAGGTGCTGGATCAAGGTGATGTCTCTCAGGGTTAGCTCAGGAATTCTTCTTAATAATTTCTTTTGAAGAGCCTGGAAGCAGGCGGGTCTTACAGAGCAAGCACTTAGATTCTGATGGGACTCTGGACTCTTCACCCCCTTACCCTCAGAAGACAGAATAGAGTATTTGCTTCAGAAGAAAGAGAAGAGGAATGCTTCTGCATAGATGGGAGATGTTTCCTTCCTTGAGGATGGATGCAGAAGGTGGGGGTGATAGAGGTGCCAACCTCAGTTTCACCCTTAAACCTGGATTCTGAAGCATTCTGGGATTCTTCTCTCATTTTTTTTTTTTCCTCTGAAGGGAATTCATGAGATGAATATCCTCCTCAGAAGACTTAAAAACTAATAGCCTGTCCTTTTTTAAAGTAGTACTTCTAAGGAATGTTGATTAGCCTAACGTAAGTTTGGATGTTATTTTAGGACAGTTTTTATCCTCCCTTACATTTTGTCTTCCACCTCTCAATCTCTATTCCCTTCAGAATCATTTGTGGCATGTTACTCATGTCACCTCTGATTATAATTCTCCCATTGTAAGTCTGTTACATGTCCTTCTTTCCATTTGAATGCTTTTTTGCAGTTCATTCATTCCTTCATTTACTAATTCACTCATTCACTAATTCACTCATTCTTTCCAAAGTGCCTCTCAAGCCCACCGTAATGTCCCAGGGGGTGAGACAGAAATGGATGACCAGTGGGGAAACATAACTTCTGCTTTGTGTATATCACATACTTAGACATTTGTTTGTTTCTCTTGGTATATGTTAAGACCCTTGAAGGTGGGAACTGTGCCCTACTGATCTTTGTATCCTACTAGTTAGCCTGCCTTCCAGACTTAGCACATTTTCAGTCAGCTTGTGGTATAAATGGTGTCTATTTCTAGCATATCATTCTGAGATTTAATGATAGGGGGACCTATTTCCATTTTCAAATATAGCAAAAGCATAGTTATTTTCATCCATTTGTACTCATTTCACTTTATTCTCAAAATGAGGTCCTGAGTTAATTGATAATTACCTCTAAGTTTGTGGGTTATTTGAGGCAACCAGGTGGTGACATTGAGTTCTTGGCCAGTTTTTTTTCTGGAATTGATTCAGCAGCCTTGAGTTGGTTTTGTCACTTGAGTCCCAGAAGCCATGGTTTCCTAGGAAAGATGATTCCCATTTAAATCAGGCAGTGATTCTTGCTGGGTTAATAAGTAAAGAAGACTTTTGGTTCTGCTTCTTCAAACTTACTCACTGAACTGGCACTAGTGTTTGTTTTTGGGTAATGCCTGGGAAAAGAGGAACCCTTCATTTTATTCAGAAGTCAAAAATAAAGGCCTCCCAACCACCTGGAGATTTTTTTGTCACAGCATACCAGTCGGGCTTCATTTTTTTGCCTAACAGCTAAGCAAGCAGCCTTCTTTCTCTGTGCTTGGGCCAATGCCTGCACTCCCTGGGGAGCAGGCAAAGCCATCTTGGTGTTGCACGGTCCAGAGGGG